TTTAGGTCACAGATTATATGTTTGAGTCTTTATTCTTCATATGTAATTTAAAAACAAGCTTTTCTTTGTAAAAACTTTAATTGAATTTTAATAAAGTTAAAGGCATGGCCTTACTGTTAATATTTAAAAAAAAATAACAAAAATTACAAAAAAATACTAGTGTTAAAGTTGATAATATTGTTTTAAATAACAATATAAATCAATTATATAGTAATGCTATAAATAATTTTAGAGTTACATAGTTTTGATTTAATAATAAATAAAATTTTATTTAAAAAAATTTTTTCTATTGCTACACATTATATATATAAAATTTTCATGATTCTAATAAATAAAAAATTACAATTTTAATCAAATCGATTATTTTAATAACAATTACAGAAAAAAAATAAATAAATAAATAAAAATTTATAATTTTAATTATTTTAATTACAAAATCAGTGATACAATTTATGATAAAAAATTGTGATCTCTGATTAGATAAATTCCAATGTCATGACATGAAATGATCTACAAACATTGACCAATCATAACGAATACCCTCTATGCTTCATACTACTGATTTGTTAATTTTTTATAGATCTACCCGTGATAATTAACTAATCAAATTGCATAATTTGTAAAAATTTTATCATTTAATACTGCTAATGTTGAAAATAAAAATAAAAAATGCAAAGTTTACAAACTAATAAATACACACAAAAGAATTTATCGCACATGCTTATAGAATATATAGATACGCGTAGAGCGAGACAAGTCTGATAATTATTATTAGTAAACCTAAAATCATTAAAGAATCTATAATGTATAATATAATCAAAAAATTTTACAATTAACAATCACAAACATACTAAAGGAGTGAACCAAACTTAATTCCGGACCTTTTTGCCATTAAAGAACTTTTACCTATTCAAATTAAACAAAATTTATTTAATATTATATAACAAATTTCTTAAACAAAAATATTTCTAGTTACCTTCTTGCAAGATCTAATATACGGGATATGTTTTATTATATTTTGCCTTATAAGCACAGTTCGTCAGAAGTGAAACCTTTCTTAATAGCGAATATTGACAGTGCTTTAAGGCTACAAATAGATCTTGGAACGATTTTTATTAGTGCTGTAGTGAGACGATCTGTTTGAAAAAGTACCTTCAAGCTTTTTTCTTTACACATTTTTAAAAAAGTCGTTACTGGGCTAACACCTCCTGAATTTTAGATTATAAAAGATTATTTTTTTAAAGGTGATTTTCTAGCACTCAAACGAAGCGATATATGTAAAAAAAAAAATTTCTTTTCTATCAGTAAAACGTTACAAACAAACTTCTGCCTATGTGTTTCGCAGAAGACACGAAACCGACCCGGAACCGACCACGGCTCGGGACCGCTGATCTTACACGGATGATCCTTCATCCGGAGTGCAACACATAGAAAATTTATTTTACAATACAAATCACTAGTACATGTTATGATTATAATCCAACACCATATTATTATACCAGTACGATCACATTTAATGTGGAGGGATGGTTCCGTTCAACTTTTTGGTCTGCTATTTTAGAAGTCATTATGGTTATCCTTTTTTTTCTATTTTAGTACGTAGAAAAATATCATATGTACTGTATGCTATGATTACTTCATAATGCAGTTCAGTGTTCGTCTGTTTAAACGTGGTTTTGATTTTCAATACCTGAAAACCGTGATCTGAGTGTGGGAAATTTTGATTGCTATTTAAGATATGTAATATGATCGTCATAGACAATTTAACGTAACATATTATAATATAATCGTTCAATAAATTCCAAGGTGTGTATGAAGTTTGATTCTGTTCACTTTAATAAATTGCCAGAGTGAGTATGAAGTTAATTCTGTTCACTTTAATGATTTTTTTCAAGAAAATGTATGATTAACCATAATCATTTAATTGTTCAATAAATCACTAATTCTGTTCACTTAACGATTATATTCAAGAGAATATATGAATAACCATAATTATTTAATTGTTTATAAATAACCAGTGTGAGTATGAAGTTTCTTTTCTCTTAAAGATTGTTTTAGACAATGTATTATTAAATGTAATCATTAAAAAATTACTAGCATGAGCATGAAGTTTAATTCCGTTCACTTTGACGTCTGTTTTTCAAGAGAATATATATACAATTAACCATGATTTCTAATCGTTCAGTAAATTATAAGAACGAGTATGAAGTTTAATTCTGTTCACTTTAACATGTGTTTCAAGAGAAATACCGTATGCATAATCAACAATAACTATTTAATCGTTTAATAAATCATCAGGGTGAGTATGAAGTTTACTTTAACGATTGTGTTAAAGAGTTTGTATGTACGTACTGATAAATGATGTTTTGATAGTTCAGTAACGACTAAAACTTGATTATATACATGGTTAATTACGTAACATCGCCATGATGAAAACTTAAATATTCACTTCCAGCTTTTCGCTCTGCAGCACTCAAATTATAATATATACACTAACTCAACTTTAACCACTGTGTATACCATATTAGTAAATTCTATAGCAGAATTCTTTACGGTAAATCATGGTAGAATCACAATAATTTCAATGTAACATATCCAAAATTAACTATATATTGTGTATGTTGCATTAGATGATTAGTTCTGTAAAAGCATTTTTAACAGTAATATTTTTTTTAAAAAAAATAAGATGAGTGGCCAAATATACCACTCATCACACTAGTATTCGTAATATGACAGTTGAATTATGACCTTTTTGGTCTATTAATAATGTAGTAATTGTGATTCTAATAAAAGACAATCTGCTATTTTGTGATTTCTAAATAATTTGCTCCGGGGAGAAATTTTGACACTTACCAAATTATTCGGACATATGAACATACGTGCGATATCTGGATAATTGGTATGTACAAATTCACGTGAATTATGAGTGTCCGGAAACTCCCTTTGCTCCGATCCATCAGAAGAGGTACATGTCGCGCAGCTATCATTATTCAATGTTATGGAATTATATGTGGTGGCTAAATTCCAAGGATCATTTGAATCAGATGAATAACTTGGATAAATTAGTGAAACTTTAGTTTCAGGTCGTAAAAAGTGTACAAATTCAAATACTATAAATGCTAATAGCACTAAAAATAAAAATGCACTTTCTGCAATTCCAATAATTGTAGCAAAATAAACTGCAACGAATGATATATATCTAAAATAAAGAATGAATTTTGATTCAAGAAATAGCGTTGAAAGGTAATAGTCCAGGAACACTCCCATTTTGTAACCATATGATCGATGTTATTGTAGAAAATAACATAGCACGAAGATCTTGAATAGAAAATTATTAATGAACTTAAAAATCGGTATTACTGTATTCCAAATACTTATGAAATATTCTAGTGAAGAATATATGAATTGACGAATCTCAAAAATAAATGCCAGAATCCAAGAATAATGACAATAAATAAGAAAAATGGCTGAGTGCCTCAAGACATTCTATTATATGAAGTTGCTACAATCGTAGAAATACAAATAAAAATTGTGTATATTGCCCAGATTGTAAAATAATATTTTCTACAAAATGTATTCCATTTAAAGTTGATGAGTTCTTCGCCATTTCAGGTTTTATAAAGTCATGAACTAATAGTTTCTGTAAAAACGCTAGGTTTTGGTCTTATTAATTCTTCCCAAAAATTATATTCCTTAGGATAATTTACAAATTTTGGCAAAGAAGATATTAAGATTACAGAGGTTTATGTTCTACGAAAATTTTCTCATATAACTTTTTAATCGATTTTGTGGGATTAATTTCAGATAAATTCTGTAAATAAAAATTAAATTTTGAAAATATTTTGCTATAAAAATATCTATACTAGATAATATAGTTAATTGATTATGAACACCGACATGATCAAGGTGTTTTACAGTGGTTACTTTTGATAAAGTTTGTTAAATAGTATTTATCAAAAGCAATAAAATATGAAGTCTCTGATATAAAGCCTTTCACGAATATCGAGTTTTCTTCTGATAATTCGGAAATATATTGGGAAATTATGCCGAATAATTGGGTATTTGGAGCATTTTCGTTCATGAAATTTATTTTAATACAACTTTTGCATAAATTTTCCGCTAACTTAAATATTGAAACTCAACAATTGCATAAATAACATCGTATCCATAAACGGCTAAATAATATTCTTCTTTAGTATACGTTTCTAATAATTCTTTAAAAGTTCTTGATCACCAAAACTGTAATCAAAACTATAACCTTTCCTATAAATGCTTATCTAATATATGGTGGCAGAAAAAATTATCTGTAAATACTACTTCCTCAGTAATATCTAGTCTACCTCCTACCATTTAGTTAAACGTTCTGAAATTATCCTAGGAAATTCAGGGTGTTCTCAAGCGTCTTAATTAATTGGACAAAAGTGTCGGTGAATAAATTTTACTTAGCGGAAAATAATTTAAGGGAGTCAAAAGTGGTTAACATCGTAATGAATATTTAGATAATCCCCCGATCACTATATCAAGATCACGGAAGGATTAATTAATAATACCCTGACCGTATGTGAATAAGCGGTAACTTCGTTTCCGCTAGTTCCCAACGGATCAGGATATTATTATTACTAAACATTGTAGTTTAATAAAGTTTATTACGTAATCAATAAATTTTTATTAGTAAAAATTATTACGCGAGTTTATCA